GATGCTCTATTTCTTATTATTTCCCTCTGTCAGTGACCACTATGTCATCAGTTTGCCCTTTGACCCCAAGCGGACCCTCCTTAAGCGCTGCACGGTCTCCTGTAACCCCGCCTCCCCGCAGTGATGCCAGCCCCGCCCCTCCAACTCACAGTACACTAAGTCTGAACACAGGGTGAGTTGATTTCTCTCTCACACACACACACACACACGCACACGCACACACACACACGCACACATCCACTCAGCACATACTCATCACCTTTTACTCCCTGTGGCTCAGCAAATGTAGGTAACTGCAGTGTTTGTGTGGGTGTGCAAATGTATTTTTGTGTGTGTGGTTTTGTCATCCACAGTTCATGGCATAAAAAGAATGGTGACGTTTCTAACTACATCAATGACTTTGCTGCACATTTGAGGTGAATATAACCAGCAGAGTCTGTGTTCTTACACACACATATACACACATAAATATAAAATACACACACACACTTTCACATAAACATATTTGTTATTGTCAAGTATAGGAAAATGTGAATTAGGGCATAAGGTGAATTCTGGTAAATTGACCTTGATATTGAGACAATTGTGTATGACAATGTAATATGTATATGCACATACATAATGTGTATGCGCAGTTGTATTATTATCATTTAAATACATTATTAATTATAATTAGTGTTATAGAACTTATTATAATTAATTTATTATAATTTATAAAATATTATTTGCAAATATTAATTATAAATTATATATTTGTTTTGATACTACAAAAATATGTTTATTTATTTTAATTTTAGTTAGTTTTTTGTTTATTTACATTTCTTATTTTTTAAGTGCTTTTTTTTTCTTATTTTTTACGATTTTGCATATTTGTTCAAAAGATTTGGTCAAATCACACTACATCTTAGCATAAGGATTGTTACGTACTGATGCGTCACTGAGGTCTGCTGGTGTGTGGCCTGCATTGTATTATAAGAAAAAACTTATTTACTCTGCAAAGACCTGTTTTCTTGCACTGTTTTCAAGCTCTTAACTAGGGGTGTAAATCGGATGGTTCGTCACGATACGATATCGATTCTCATATCCAGCGATACGATATTTCCCGATACTTCAAAACATTCTACGATACGATTCAATACAGAAGAATATCGATCGATATATCGATATTATTATATTATATACCTATTTTAAACAACCATCTACATTTTTATTAACTCACAAATGCAACCAAAACATATAACATGAACATTTATCTTAAATTTTCACATCCTGTTCCTCAGTTGGGACATTCACAAAAAGTCACACACAAGATCAGTAATCTTAAGATATGACAACAGTCAAGACAGTCTTTCAGGTTTCTGTGCTAAAATATGCAATGTGTAAAACAATGTAAATCCTCATTAGGAAACAACACAAATTAGGTACTCTTGTAGGAAAAAATACATTAATGTAGAAAAATACATTTAAAAAATACAAAAATAAAGCTGTTAAAACTTTATTTGAGACTTTTTTGGCTGCTACTATGGGCTCAGTGCTAAAAAAACACTTTTCTACAGATAACCAAATTACAAGCAATACCAGAAAATAAATACAATATAACAAAGACACAAATTTAAATAAACAGTGCTTTTCAGGTTTTTCAGGCATCTGTGAAAAAAAAAAATGTATTTGACAGAAATTTTCTTAGTCTGCTTTCACTTTAAGAAGGAAAGCAAGGATCCAATATATACGGTAACCGAGAAGTGCTAAACAAATCACAATTCTGAAAACAAAATAACAAATTACAAACGCAAATGCAAGTCTAAAAAACAAAATAACAATTCAGAAAACATTATAACAAGTCATAAAACACAATGACAAATTCAAAAACAAAATAACAAGTTAGAAAACACAACGACAAATCCGAAAACAAATTTACAAGTCAGAAAACACAACGACAAATCAGACAAACCGGAAAAGGTAGGTATAGTTTGAGACAGCGCCATTGGTTTGGGATTACTCACCGCTGACTGGACGAGACATCTGTCAATCAACGTATACAGGGAAGAAGTCAAGTCAAGTCAAGTCAAGTCTGCTTTATTGTCAATTCTTCCACATGTACAGCACATACACACAGAGAATTGAAATTGCGTTACTCTCAGACCCTTGGTGCATACAGATAACACTAACAGTAGAACATAAATACAGATATACAGATTAAGTATAAAATACAACTATACAAATATACAAATAAGGTAAAATGTAAAAAAAATATATCAAAAAAATATATATAAAGCAGCACACAGCACATGGCAGATAGAGTGCAAACCAGTGAAGTAAACAACAGTGCAGATATAATGATTTGTAGTGCAAAAAGAGCTTATTTAGACTGATTAAAGTGACTGTGTGTGTGTATTTGGGAGGGGGGAGTGGGAGAGTCCGTCAGAGTTCAGTGGTGCGTGGGGCAAAAGAGGGGAGGGGGGGCAAGGTCGGGAGGGAGTTCAGCTTCCTGACAGCCTGATGGATGAAGCTGTCCTTCAGTCTGCTGGTCCTGGCCTGGAGACTCCGCAGTCTCCTCCCTGATGGCAGCAGACTGAA